GCTCAGGCAATCCACTCACCTCAGCCTCCCAAAGGTGTGGAATTACAGGTTGAGCCACCGAGCCCGGCAGGGCTACATATCTTTATGCACATTTGAAAACTCTTCCATGGGAGCCAGTTCTAGAAGCGAAATCATCACATCCATGTGTATATTCATTTAAACTTTTAAAAGTTATGAATGCAGCCAAATTTCCATCCCCAAGGAGTTGCCTGAGTCACACCTACCAGTAACATAAGAGAGTGCTATTTCTCTACATCTCTGCCAGTAATGTGTGTTCTCTACTTTTTGATCTTTGAAAACTTGATCAGCAACAATAATTTCTGTGGGTGGTTTCTAATGTGTATTTACTTGGTGTAAGAGATAGAACATCATTCCTTTCTTTATTTTTTGAAAGCAGGATGTATTGAGAGGACAGAAAAGTTCCCACAGTGGAAGGGGAGGACCCAAAAGGATTGCCCAGGACATCTTTTCATATGTTTAAACTCAATGTGTATTTATATAGTACCCAAACAATTTGTCCTTCGCCCACTGTATTTCTTGAGTTGAGCCTTCTTGCTGATTTGTTACTACAGCTATTTTAAATATAAGAAATTGGGCTTCAAGAAGCTAAGTCATGTGCTCAACATCATGCAGTACAGAAGCGCTGAAGCTGAGATTCAAGCCAGGGCTTGTATGAGCACATTCTACTGGACATATGCTTCCAGGGTGTTGTGACTTGGGATCAGGAGTGAAGGAAGCTGGAAATTAACTGGAACAGTGTGAGATTTTATTCACAACATCTTAGATTCCTGATGTTGGAGGTGTCTGAGAGGCTGTCTAATACAATTTCTAAGTGCATGGGTGTAGAAAATGAGGCTCAGCTGGGCTCCGTGGCTCAGCCTGTCATCCCAGTACTTTGGGAGGCTGAGGCGAGTGGATTGCCTGAGCCGGCGGGTTTGAGACCATCCCGGGCAACTTGGCGAGACCTCATCTCTACAATCAATAAAAAATTTGCTGGGTGTGGTAGTGTGGGCCTGTAGTTCCAGCTATTTGAAAGGCTGAGGCGGAAGGATTGCGGGAGCCCAGCAGGTCAACGCTGGGGTGACCGTGAGCATGCCACTGCACTCCAGCCTGGGCAACAGAGTGAGACTCCAACTCAAAGAAAGAAAGAAAGAAAGAACGGAAGAAAGGAAGGAAGGAAGGAAGGAAGGAAGGAAGGAAGGAAGGAAGGAAGGAAGGTAGGAAGGAAGAAAGAAAGACAAAGAAAATGAGACTAAAGGCAGAAAACCCATTGCCATCAAGATCCTCTATAGCCCAGGCCCACCATTGCTTTCTGAATTTTTCTCTCCCTTATCTTTAATATGAGCCCAGGGAGTTTTTGTCTGCAGGTGTCCTAATTTCAACTCTGGCAACTCAGGCTCTTCAACATTTCTGATCCCCAATTTCTTCATACAGACAATTGGGCTGATCATAACCTACCTTATGAAGCTTGTGTGAGAATCACAAACAAAAACAAGAGGTTCTTGTCCAAGTTGCAGAGTGAGTTATTGGCTGTCTTGTCTTGCAGTTATTAATCTTGGAGCTGTGAATTCTTAGATTCTTTTTATTTCTTTTATTGAGTCAGAGTCTCACTCTATTGCCCAGGCTGGAGTACAGTGGCACGATCATGACTCACGACAGCCTCGATCTCCTTGGCTCAAGTGATCCTCTCACTCAACCTCTCAAGTATCTGGGACTACAGGTATGTACCACTATGACAGTCTAAT